AAGACTGAAGATATGTATAAATATTTCAAGTCTAACAAATATAATATCAGTGATGGATAAACCTAGATGTAACCTCTGTACGTACTGCTTGTGTGATATTTTACTTGGAAAACTAGTGGCTTGATAGTTTTTAACCGACCTCACCAATAACTAACATTGGTCTTCCTAATACTCTTACATTTGAAACTATTCTCTTTTCATCAATGCATTAAAACATTATCAGTTCAATAATTAGTCATCTATTTGTATTTCTTCTCTCTCAAAAGACCAAATTGTTATTTCAGTAGTCAGTTTAAATAAACATTTGTGTGTTATGTTTCTCTACGAAATGCAAGGGGAAATCACTTTTAGTTGTGTTTTCAATGAATCGATGTTCCTATTCATTAAAAGTCGGACATTTTAAAAAAGGTTACCTTTAGCCAAGATTTGACCATCTATTATTTTATGGAGTTTTTAAATAATCAATCAGCTTTCTTCCTTTCCAGAGATCAGTTTTTCTGCGTATTTTCTGCTAGAGAGCAGTTTAGGCTTAACACAAAGCACTGCACCTAACCTTGTATTTTGTTTTGCTTTATCTCAATTCTCTGTACATTTATTACTTTTACACTGTATGCTCCCTATTAGTTCATCGCCATACAACTTCTAGCCCCTACAATCAATCTTAATACCTTTTCCATTGTATTAGCGTCGTCTCTTAGAACAGCTTACTTGTAATATCATAGGGACTCATTCTCCTGCTTAGCCAAAACCCTTCCTTAACCTATGTGAGAGTTTGTTATTCACTTATTACTCATCTTAGCAGTTGTTATACATTTTGTGTAGGACATTCATGATTGTCATTATATGATTTAACTGCAATTTAGCACGCTTTATTTCACTTACATTTTACATTTTCAAATTACATTTAGTAAAGATAGAAATTTAAGCACCTTGTGCATTATTACTAAACGTTTGTCGTCTCTTGCATATGTCTCTCACACTGTTTATAAGTATTGGAGGTTAAGATTTTTTGTTTAGTGCTTAATTTCTGCTATTCTTTAATTAAGCAATATGTTCCTTACATTATTTATGTGCCTTGTTCTCCTTTAAACCCTTTTCTGATCTCTATGTATTTGTAATGGGGTATTTTGTTCTTATTCTATTATCATTAAATCTAACCTGACAGTAGTAGTTTATTGTTATATTAATGCGATATCTTACATTTTCCTCTTATTTACTCAGATATACCCCTCGTATCCTTACTTTAATTTTCTCCCTTTTTATCATGTCTTTCACTGATTCAGCCTCTCTTTTGCTTTTTTTCTTCATGGTAGATAATGTGGTAGATGAGGGAAGATGAATAAGGCACTGGTAGATGTTAGTGATAGGTATTGAGGGTGATAGATGGTGGATGGTGGTGATTATCATGGGTTCTAAATGGGTAGTGGAAGATGATAGTGGTTATCATGGAGTACTGGTGGAGAGTCATGGTGGTGGTTAACTGGGAATACTGAGGGGTGCCGGTTGATGATGGTAGTTATCAGTCATAACTGGTAGAAAGCAATAGTGGTTGACACACTTAAAACATGAGATTACACACTTGAAACATGAGATTAATTCTACACCATTTGTTCATCTCTATCATCACTATCCAGTGGGACAGTGAATATAATAACTATCCTCACTGTCCAGTGTGACAATGAATATGATTACAATCCTCACTGGCCAGTGTGACAGTGAATATCAACCCATCCTCACTGGCCAGTGTGACAGTCAGTACCAACCCATCCTCCTGCTTAAATAGTAGTTTTTCGAACCATGTGCGCCATAGTTCAAAGATTGACGTACTAAGTATTTAGGTAGTAAACGTTCGTACTATTTACTTTATAGAGTCAGACTAAATTAAGCTAAAAAACTAACTAAAATACTCCTAGACCTAGTATAGCACACATGTGTACTATAATAGGCCTCAGATGTCGTGTGTTAGGTCTAGGAAGGTCAGGTTATGAGAGTTTAGTTTTTCTTAGCAACATAAATAACAAATCTCTTCCAGTTTGTTCCAAATTCATTGGTTCCAATTTCCACTTTCCAATTGTGTTATATCTGTATTATGGTCCTCATCAATACTATAAGTACTACCAAAACAGGAGGATGGGCTGAAATATGATACCACTTCTTAGTGTCCAGTGAAACAGTTAATATGATAACCATCCTCAGTGTCCAGTGTGACAGTTAATATGATAACCATCTTCAGTGTCCATGATAACCATCTTCAGTGTCCAGTGAAACAGTTAATATGATAACCATCCTCAGTGTCCAGTGTGACAGTTAATATGATAACCATCTTCAGTGTCCAGTGTGACAGTTAATATGATAACCATCCTCAGTGTCCAGTGTGACAATATGATAACCATCTTCAGTGTCCAGTGTGACAGTTAATATGATAACCATCTTCAGTGTCCAGTGTGACAATATGATAACCATCCTCAGTGTCCAGTGTGACAGTTAATATGATAACCATCTTCAGTGTCCAGTGTGACAGTTAATATGATAACCATCTTCAGTGTCCAGTGTGACAGTTAATATGATAACCATCCTCAGTGTCCAGTGTGACAGTTAATATGATACCAAGTGTCCAGTGAAACAGTTAATATGATAACCATCCTCAGTGTCCAGTGTGACAGTTAATATGATAACCATCTTCAGTGTCCAGTGTGACAATATGATAACCATCCTCAGTGTCCAGTATGACAGTTAATATGATAACCATCCTCAGTGTCCAGTGTGACAGTTAATATGATAACCATCTTCAGTGTCCAGTGTGACAATATGATAACCATCCTCAGTGTCCAGTGTGACAGTTAATATGATAACCATCCTCAGTGTCCAGTGTGACAGTCAATATGATAACCATCCTCAGTGTCCAGTGAAACAGTTAATATGATAACCATCCTCAGTGTCCAGTGTGACAGTTAATATGATAACCATCTTCAGTGTCCAGTGTGACAATATAATAACCATCCTCAGTGTCCAGTATGACAGTTAATATGATAAACATCTTCAGTGTCCAGTGTGACAATATGATAACCATCCTCAGTGTCCAGTGTGACAGTTAATATGATAACCATCCTCAGTGTCCAGTGTGACAGTTAATATGATAACCATCTTCAGTGTCCAGTGTGACAATATGATAACCATCCTCAGTGTCCAGTGTGACAGTTAATATGATAACCATCTTCAGTGTCCATTGTGACAATATGATAACCATCCTCAGTGTCCAGTGTGACAGTTAATATGATAACCATCTTCAGTGTCCAGTGTGACAGTTAATATGATAACCATCCTCAGTGTCCAGTGTGACAGTTAATATGATAACCATCCTCAGTGTCCAGTGTGACAGTGTAATATGATAACCATCCTCAGTGTCCAGTGTGACAGTTAATATGATAACCATCTTCAGTGTCCAGTGTGACAGTTAATATGATAACCATCCTCAGTGTCCAGTGTGACAGTTAATATGATAACCATCCTCAGTGTCCAGTGTGACAGTTAATATGATAACCATCCTCAGTGTCCAGTGTGACAGTTAATATGATAACCATCTTCAGTGTCCAGTGTGACAGTTAATATGATAACCATCCTCAGTGTCCAGTGTGACAGTTAATATGATAACCATCCTCAGTGTCCAGTGTGACAGTTAATATGATAACCATCTTCAGTGTCCAGTGTGACAATATGATAACCATCCTCAGTGTCCAGTGTGACAGTTAATATGATAACCATCTTCAGTGTCCAGTGTGACAGTTAATATGATAACCATCCTCAGTGTCCAGTGTGACAGTTAATATGATAACCATCCTCAGTGTCCAGTGTGACAGTTAATATGATAACCATCCTCAGTGTCCAGTGTGACAGTTAATATGATCACCATCTTCAGTGTCCAGTGTGACAGTTAATATGATAACCATCCTCAGTGTCCAGTGTGACAGTTAATATGATAACCATCCTCAGTGTCCAGTGTGACAGTTAATATGATAACCATCCTCAGTGTCCAGTGTGACAGTTAATATGATAACCATCCTCAGTGTCCAGTGTGACAGTTAATATGATAACCATCCTCAGTGTCCAGTGTGACAGTTAATATGATAACCATCCTCAGTGTTCAGTGTGACAGTTAATATGATAACCATCTTCAGTGTCCAGTGTGACAATATGATAACCATCCTCAGTGTCCAGTGTGACAGTTAATATGATAACCATCCTCAGTGTCCAGTGTGCCAGTTAATATGATAACCATCCTCAGTGTCCAGTGTGACAGTTAATATGATAACCATCTTCAGTGTCCAGTGTGACAGTTAATATAATAACCATCCTCAGTGTCCAGTGTGACAGTTAATATGATAACCATCCTCAGTGTCCAGTGTGACAGTTAATATGATAACCATCCTCAGTGTCCAGTGTGACAGTTAATATGATAACCATCTTCAGTGTCCAGTGTGACAATATGATAACCATCCTCAGTGTCCAGTGTGACAGTTAATATGATAACCATCTTCAGTGTCCAGTGTGACAGTTAATATGATAACCATCCTCAGTGTCCAGTGTGACAGTTAATATGATAACCATCCTCAGTGTCCAGTGTGACAGTTAATATGATAACCATCCTCAGTGTCCAGTGTGACAGTTAATATGATCACCATCTTCAGTGTCCAGTGTGACAGTTAATATGATAACCATCCTCAGTGTCCAGTGTGACAGTTAATATGATAACCATCCTCAGTGTCCAGTGTGACAGTTAATATAATAACCATCCTCAGTGTCCAGTGTGACAGTTAATATAATAACCATCCTCAGTGTCCAGTGTGACAGTTAATATGATAACCATCCTCAGTGTCCAGTGTGATAGTGGAAATGATTACCATCCTGAATGAAATATCAACTTATTGAATTACTACCAATATACCGACTTTCAAATAATAGGTGTTAATGAAGATATAGTAACGGGAGTGGTCCTCCTGCAGGAGGGGTTCAGGTCCGTGACGCCGTCGCTGGACCTGGGGCCTGACCCCCAGGAGTCGACCTCAGAGGGTCCAGGGAGCTGCCCGGCCCACCTCACCTCCCTGCCCACCAACGCCTACGGCTCCCTCACCTTCCTCAACGAGAAGTCAGGTTGGATTTTGAGTCGTGTGTCTCATGTTGTGGTGTGGGTGTATCGTGAGTATGGTTTGGGTGTGAGTGTATTGTGTGCATGTGTATTGTGTGTGGGTGTATTATTTTTTATGTATATTGTGTGTAGGTGTATTGTGTGTGGGTGTATTGTGTGTACTGCATGTGGGTGAATTATGTGTAGGTGTAGTGTGTGTGGTGCATTGTTTGTAGTTTTAGTGTGTGTTGTGTATTGTTTGTAGGTGTAGTGCGTGTAGTGTATTGTTTGTAGGTGTGGTGTATTGTTTGTAGGTGTAGTGAGTGTGTGTTGTATTGTTTGTAGGTGTAGTGTGTGTGGTGTATTGTTTGTAGGTGTATTGTGTGTTGTGAATTATTCTTAGGTGTAGTGTGTGTGTTGTATTGTTTGTAGGTGTAGTATGTGTTGTGTACTGTTTATAGGTGTAGTGTGTGTGTGTGGTGTATTGTTTGTAGTTGTAGAGTGTGTGTGTGGTGTTTGTAGGTGTATTGTGAATTGTTTGTAGTTTAGAGTGTGTGTGTGGTGTTTGTAGGTGTAGTGCGTGTAGTGTATTGTTTGTAGGTGCGGTGTATTGTTTGTAGGTGTAGTGAGTGTGTGTTGTATTGTTTGTAGGTGTAGTGTGTGTTGTGTATTGTTTGTAGGTGTAGTGTGTGTGGTGTATTGTTTGTAGGTGTAGTGTGTGTGGTGTATTGTTTGTAGGTGTGTGTATGGTGTATTGTTTGTAGGTGTAATGTGTGTGTGGTGTATTGTTTGTAGGTGTAGTGTGTGTGGTGTATTGTTTGTAGGTGTGTGTATGGTGTATTGTTTGTAGGTGTAGTGTGTGTGGTGTATTGTTTGTAGGTGTAGTGTGTGTGGTGTATTGTTTGTAGGTGTGTGTATGGTGTATTGTTTGTAGGTGTAATGTGTGTGTGGTGTATTGTTTGTAGGTGTAGTGTGTGTGGTGTATTGTTTGTATGTGTAATGTGTGTGGTGTATTGTTTGTAGGTGTAGTGTGTGTATGGTGTATTGTTTGTAGGTGTAATGTGTGTGTGGTGTATTGTTTGTAGATGTAGTGTGTGTGGTGTATTGTTTGTAGGTGTAGTGTGTGTATGGTGTATTGTTTGTAGGTGTAATGTGTGTGTGGTGTATTGTTTGTAGATGTAGTGTGTGTGGTGTATTGTTTGTAGGTGTAGTGTGTGTATGGTGTATTGTTTGTTGGTGTAATGTGTGTGTGGTGTATTGTTTGTAGGTGTAGTGTGTGTATGGTGTATTGTTTGTAGGTGTAATGTGTGTGTGGTGTATTGTTTGTAGATGTAGTGTGTGTGGTGTATTGTTTGTAGGTGTAGTGTGTGTGGTGTATTGTTTGTAGGTGTAGTGTGTGTATGGTGTATTGTTTGTAGGTGTAATGTGTGTGTGGTGTATTGTTTGTAGGTGTAGTGTGTGAATGGTGTATTGTTTGTAGGTGTAATGTGTGTGTGGTGTATTGTTTGTAGATGTAGTGTGTGTGGTGTATTGTTTGTAGGTGTAGTGTGTGTGGTGTATTGTTTGTATGTGTAATGTGTGTGGTGTATTGTTTGTAGGTGTAATGTGTGTGTGGTGTATTGTTTGTAGGTGTAGTGTGTGTATGGTGTATTGTTTGTAGGTGTAATGTGTGTGTGGTGTATTGTTTGTAGGTGTAATGTGTGTGTGGTGTATTGTTTGTAGGTGTAGTGTGTGTGGTGTATTGTTTGTAGGTGTAGTGTGTGTGGTGTATTGTTTGTAGGTGTAATGTGTGTGTGGTGTATTGTTTGTAGGTGTAGTGTGTGTTTTGTATTGTTTGCATCTTGAGGTTATCTTGAGTTGATTTCGGGGCTTTGTTTTTAGTGTCCCCGCGGCCCGGTCCTTGACCAGGCCTCCACCCCCAGGAAGCAGCCTGTGACAGCTGACTAACTCCCAGGTACCTATTTACTGCTAGGTAACAGGGGCATTCAGGGTGAAAGAAACTTTGCCCTTTTGTTTCTGCCTCGTGCGGGAATCGAACCCGCGCCACAGAATTACGATTCCTGCGCGCTATCCACCAGGCTACGAGGCCCCCGGTAGGTGTAGTGTGTGTGGTGTATTGTTTATAAGTGTAGTGTGTGTGGTGTATTGTTTGTAAGTGTAGTGTGTGTGTGTGTGTGTGTGTGTGTGTGTGTGTGTGTGTGTGTGTGTGTGTGTGTGTGTGTGTGTGTGTGTGTGTGTGTGTGTGTGTGTGTGTGTGTGTGTGTGTGTGGTGTATTGTTTGTAGGTGTAGTGTGGTGTGGTGTATTGCTTGTAGGTGTAGTGTGTGTTGTGTATTGTTTGTAGGTATAGTGTGAGTGGTGTTTTGTTTGTAGGTGTAGTGTGAGTGTGTGGTGTATTGTTTGTAGGTGTAGTGTGTGTGGTGTATTGTTTGTAAGTGTAGTGTGTGTGTGTGTGTGTGTGTGTGTGTGTGTGTGTGTGTGTGTGTGTGTGTGTGTGTGTGTGTGTGTGTGTGTGTGTGTGTGTACTCACCTATATGTACTCACCTATATGTGCTTGCAGGATCGAGCATTGACTCTTGGATCCCGCCTTTCGAGCATCGGTTGTTTACAGCAATGACTCCTGTCCCATTTCCCTATCATACCTGGTTTTAAAATTATGAATAGTATTTGCTTCCACAACCTGTTCCTGAAGTGCATTCCATTTCCCCACTACTCTCACGCTAAAAGAAAACTTCCTTACATCTCTGTGACTCATCTGAGTTTCAAGCTTCCATCCATGTCCTCTCGTTCTGTTACTATTCCGTGTGAACATTTCGTCTATGTCCACTCTGTCAATTCCTCTGAGTATCTTATACGTTCCTATCATGTCCCCCCTCTCCCTTCTTCTTTCTAGTGTCGTAAGGCACAGTTCCCTCAGGCGCTCTTCATACCCCATCCCTCGTAGCTCTGGGACGAGTCTCGTTGCAAACCTCTGAACCTTTTCCAGTTTCATTATATGCTTCTTCAGATGGGGACTCCATGATGAGGCGGCATACTCTAAGACTGGCCTTACGTAGGCAGTGTAAAGCGCCCTAAATGCCTCCTTACTTAGGTTTCTGAATGATGTTCTAACTTTTGCCAGTGTAGAGTACGCTGCTGTCGTTATCCTATTAATATGTGCCTCAGGAGATAGATTAGGTGTTACGTCCACCCCCAGGTCTCTTTCACGCGTCGTTACAGGTAGGCTGTTCCCCTTCATTGTGTACTGTCCCTTTGGTCTCCTATCTCCTAGTCCCATTTCCATAACTTTACATTTGCTCGTGTTGAATTCTAGTAGCCATTTCTCTGACCATCTCTGCAATCTGTTCAGGTCCTCTTGGAGGATCCTGCAATCCTCATCTGTCACAACTCTTCTCATCAACTTTGCATCATCCGCAAACATCGACATGTAGGACTCTACGCCTGTAAACATGTCGTTAACATACACAAGAAATAGAATTGGTCCCAGCACCGATCCTTGTGGTACTCCACTTGTTACTGTTCGCCAGTCCGACTTCTCGCCCCTTACCGTAACTCTTTGGCTCCTTCCTGTTAGGTAGTTCCTTATCCATTCTAGGACCTTTCCCCCCACCCCCGCCTGCCTCTCGAGCTTGAACAGCAGTCTCATGTGCGGTACTGTATCAAAGGCTTTTTGGCAGTCCAGAAATATGCAGTCTGCCCAACCATCTCTGTCCTGTCTTATCCTCGTTATTTTATCATAGAATTCCAGAAGGTTTGTTAGGCACGATTTCCCTGTCCAGAACCCATGTTGATGTTTGTTCACAAACCTAATGTTCTCCAGGTGTGCAACCAGTCGTAGCCTAATTATTCTTTCCAGTATTTTACAGGGGATGCTTGTCAGTGATACAGGTCTGTAGTTAAGTGCCTCCTCCCTATCTCCTTTCTTGAAGATCGGCACGACATTTGCCTTCTTCCAGCAACTGGGCAATTCTCCTGACATAAGTGACTCATTAAAGATCATTGCCAGAGGCACGCTGAGGGCCTGTGCTGCTTCTTTTAGTATCCACGGTGATACTTTGTCTGGTCCAACTGCTTTAGTTGCATCTAGAGTTGTCAACTGTTTCATTACCTCCTCTGCTGTCACCTCTATATCTGATAGTCTTTCATCTAGGGTAACCCCTTCCAACAATGGGAGCTGCTCAGGCTCGGTAGTGAACACTCCATGGAAACTGGCATTCAGTGCCTCGCAGATTTCCTTGTCACTTTCAGTATATGCCCCCTCTGTCTTCCTTAGTCTTGTCACTTGGTCGTTCACCGACATTTTTCTTCTTATATGACTGTGTAGTAACTTAGGTTGTTTTTTCGCTTTGATTGCAATATCGTTCTCATAGTCCCTTTCCGATGTTCGTCTTATGTTAATGTAATCGTTCCTAGCTCTGTTGTATCTGCTTCTGTTGTCCTCTGTTCTTTGTCTTCTGTACTTCCTCCACTCCCGCCTGCTGGCCATTTTTGCTTCCTGACACTGTCTATTAAACCATGGGTTATTATATTCCTTCTTATTTTTTCCCTTTACCGTTGGTATAAATCTCTCTTCGGCCTCCTGGCATTTCTGTATGACTAGGTCCATCATATCTTGGACTGTTTTTCCTCTAATTTCTTCCTCCCACTGCACTTCACCCAGATAGTCCCTTATCCTCATATAGTCCCCTTTCCTGTAGTCAGCTCTCCTTTCCCAGATCTCTTGTCCCATGGTCATAATTTTGAATTCCATCATGTAGTCAAAGACTAGGACACAATGGTCACTGGCCCCTAGAGGTATTTCATGCTCTAAATTCTCGATATCTTCTACGTTCTGGGTGAAAATCAGGTCTAATAGGCTCGGTGCATCTCCTCCTCTTTCCCTTGTGTCTTCCTTCACATGTTGTGTCAGGAAATTCCTGTCTATAACATCTACTAATTTTGCTCCCCACGTTTGTGTGTGTGTGTGTGTGTGTGTGTGTGTGGTGTATTGTTTGTAGGTGAAGTGTGGTGTGGTGTATTGCTTGTAGGTGTAGTGTGTGTTGTGTATTGTTTATAAGTATAGTGTGAGTGGTGTTTTGTTTGTAGGTGTAGTGTGAGTGTGTGGTGTATTGTTTGTAGGTGTAGTGTGTGTGGTGTATTGTTTGTAAGTGTAGTGTGTGTGTGGTGTATTGTTTGTAAGTGTAGTGTGTGTGTGGTGTATTGTTTGTAAGTGTAGTGTGTGTGTGGTGTATTGTTTGTAGGGGTAGTTCGCGTGGTGTATTGTTTGTAGGTGTAGTGTGTGTGTGTGTGTGTGTGTGTGTGTGTGTGTGTGTGTGTGTGTGTGTGTGTGTGTGTGTGTGTGTGGTGTATTGTTTGTAGGTGTAGTGTGTATGTAGTGTTTTGTTTGTAGTTGTAGTGTACTCCCCTAATTGTGTTTTCGGGGGTTGAGCTCTGGCTCTTTGGTCCCGCCTCTCAACTGTCAATCAACTGGTGTACAGATTCCTGAGCCTATTGGGCTCTATCATATCTACAATTGAAACTGTGTATGGAGTCAGCCTCCACCACATCACTTCCTAATGCATTCCACCTGTTAACTACTATGACACTGAAAAATTTCTTTCTAATGTCCCTGTGGCTCATTTTGGTGCTCAGTTTCCACCTGTGTCCCCTTGTTCGCGTACCACCCGTGTTAAACAGTTTATCGATTGTTAAAACCCGTGTTAAACAGATAACAGTTTAACCGTTAACAGTGTGTAGTGTATTGGTTGTAGGTGTAGTGTGTGTGGTCTAAGGTTTGTATGTGTAGTGTGTGTAGTGTATGATTTGTAGGTGTAGTGTGTGTGGTGTATGGCCTGTAGGTGTAGTGTGTGTGGTGTATGGCCTGTAGGTGTAGTGTGTGTGGTGTATGGCCTGTAGGTGTAGTGTGTGTGGTGTATGGCCTGTAGGTGTAGTGTGTGTGGTGTATGGCCTGTAGGTGTAGTGTGTGTGGTGTATGGCCTGTAGGTGTAGTGTGTGTGGTGTATGGCCTGTAGGTGTAGTGTGTATGGTGTATGGCCTGTAGGTGTAGTGTGTGTGGTGTATGGCCTGTAGGTGTAGTGTGTGTGGTGTATGGCCTGTAGGTGTAGTGTGTGTGGTGTATGGCCTGTAGGTGTAGTGTGTGTGGTGTATGGCCTGTAGGTGTAGTGTGTGTGGTGTATGGCCTGTAGGTGTAGTGTGTGTGGTGTATGGCCTGTAGGTGTAGTGTGTGTGGTGTATGGCCTGTAGGTGTAGTGTGTATGGTGTATGGCCTGTAGGTGTAGTGTGTGTGGTGTATGGCCTGTAGGTGTAGTGTGTGTGGTGTATGGCCTGTAGGTGTAGTGTGTGTGGTGTATGGCCTGTAGGTGTAGTGTGTATGGTGTATGGCCTGTAGGTGTAGTGTGTGTGGTGTATGGCCTGTAGGTGTAGTGTGTGTGGTGTATGGCCTGTAGGTGTAGTGTGTGTGGTGTATGGCCTGTAGGTGTAGTGTGTGTGGTGTATGGCCTGTAGGTGTAGTGTGTGTGGTGTATGGCCTGTAGGTGTAGTGTGTATGGTGTATGGCCTGTAGGTGTAGTGTGTGTGGTGTATGGCCTGTAGGTGTAGTGTGTGTGGTGTATGGCCTGTAGGTGTAGTGTGTGTGGTGTATGGCCTGTAGGTGTAGTGTGTGTGGTGTATGGCCTGTAGGTGTAGTGTGTGTGGTGTATGGTTTGTACATGTAGTGTGTGTTTTGTATTGTCTATATGTGTAGTTTATGTGGTGGACAGCACACATGTTTTCGTGTTTGGGTGGATTTGCATATGTGAATTGTGTACTCACTTTGTTTTACTCACCTAGTTGTACTCAAATAGGTGTGTTTGTGCAAATGGAGCTTCGGCTCTTTCCTCCCGCCTTTCAACTGTCAATCAATTAGTAGACAGATTCTAAAGCCTATTTGGCTCTATCATATCTACCTTTGAAACTGTGTATGGAGTCTGCTTCCAGCGCATCACTTCCTGATGCATTCCATCTGTTTACAACTATGACACTGAAAAAGATCCTTCTTATTTCTCTGTGACTCATTCGGGTATTCGTCTTCCACCTGTGTCCCTTTGTGGGTGTACCACTTGCGTCCCCTTGTGCGAGGACGTGTTAAATAATCTGTCCTTATTTGCTCAGTGAACTCCCCTGAGAATTTTTTATATGTTGATTATGTCTCCCCGAACTCTTCTATTTTCCAGTGACGTGAGGTTCACTTCACGAAGCTATTTACTTTACTATTCGTTAACGTTAATTCACTATTTCTATTTACTTTTTATGCCAAACGGACAGAGCTGCTAATTCTTGGCCCCATCCACTCTTACTGTCAGGTGTCTAATATACTGACTCCCGACCGTAGAGTATTTTTTCCTATTAATTTTCTTCTGTTTGCTTCCAGATTGTACATATTGATCAATGGGAAAATGCTCTTCTTGATTTCCATATCCCATAATTGTGGTATGAGTCTTTCTTTAGTTACTTTGAGTTTGTACATTACAAAGTCCATCGCGCCCTGTGCTGATTTTCTCTGAGTTGTCTTTCTCAAACAATCCGCTCCAGGACTTTGTTGTCCCCAACTTACCTCTTTCCGTGGTCTTCATTATCACTATATATCTGAAGACTAAATCATAGTAATTACTACTTCTTAGTGGCATTTAATGGTCAATATTTTCTATGCCCTCTCATTGTGTGTGAAGACCAGGTCAAGCCAAGCAGGTTGGCCACCACTTATTGTTTCTTTCCTGATATGTTGCACTAGGAAGTTCCTCCCTCCCACTATATCACTTTGGCCATGTTTGAAGGCTTCCATTACTAGATGTTTGCTCTCACTTGATGGGCTGTCTGCTGCGTCTTGAGGGACATTAATGCATACTTTGTTTGTAATTGCTTTTTCTTGTCTGAGAACCATGCCTACTCCTCCTCATTTCTTTCTTTCTTTGAGGTCATCTTCTTATTAGAGAGATTGTCATCATTAATGTACAGGTCTTAATAGTCTTCATATTGTCCTGTCCTGTGGGTGTGTAATTTTCACTTATGTGATGGTTTCAGGTTAGATTTGTGTGAAATGGTAGGTGGAGTGAGAGGTAAGATTTATGACATGAGAGAGAGAGAGAGCAGGGGGGTGGATGTCCATGGGACAGTGGACTGGAGTGTGGAGTCTGGTGTAGTGGAACGTGTAACACATGATATCTGGGATTGGGAAATAGTTGTTTGGAACGGAAAGGAATGTATCAGGAGAAAATGCCGAACCATTAAGAGTGTATAACATTTTGAAGGGATCGGATAAAAATTTGGAATGGGGTGGGGAGAAGGAATGGTGCCAAACCACTTGGAAGGGCGGTGATTGAACACCGACCTGCATGATACGAGACCGTCGTTCTACCGTCCACCCCAAGTGGTTGGGCATCATTCCTTCTTCCCCTCCCCATCACAAATCCTTATCCTAATTCCTTCCAAGTACTATATAGTTGTAACGGCTTGGCGATTTCTCCAGATAGTTCCCCCTTTCGTTCCATACAACTACTTTCCACCTCCAGACATCAAGTGCCACACATCCCGCCTCCAGACCCTACACTCCAGTCCACTGTCCATGGACATCCAAACCCCCCCACCACCCCTGCTCTCTCCAATATCATAACTCCTACTATCCACTGTGTGGCGTCCCCACAGGAGCGAGGGAGCCAGCGCCGTACATAAGGATGGCGGCCGACACCCCCATGAAGAGCGTGCTGACGCTGCTCTCCGACTACTGGAAGGTTCTGGACCCCAAGCCCGAGCTGGTCATCTCCGTCGTCGGAGACGCCAGGAGCCTCCAGCTAGACGGCAGGAAGAAGGAGACCTTCACCTCAGGACTCATAAAGGTCAGTCAGGGGCTTTCTTTCCCTGTAATCAAGTTTAGTTGTTTTAAGGTTTGTTGTCGCATTATTAATCTGAGTTTTTCCTCGTATTAGTCCTCTCGTATAGAGAGGACAAAGTTTTCTTATGACATGTCGATGGTTCCAGCATTTCTCTCAAACTTTATAATCCTAACTGAGTATGTGTCCTTGAACTGTGTCTAGACTGTGTCTGTGTCCTTAAACTGTCTCTGGACAGTGTCTGTGTTCCTAAGCCATGTCTCCAGAATGTGTCTGTGTTCCTAAACCGTGTCTCTGCACAGGGTCTGTGACTCTAAATTGTGCATCTAGAGAGTATCTGTGACTGTAACTCTAGCTGTAACCTGCAGATAGGGTAAAGACCACCTCTGAGAGCAATTCTAAAGTGTCGTGAGGCTGAACCCCGGTTCATTTCGAACACAGCGATTACACAACACATAACACCTTGCCTCAGCAACCGTTACTACCACCTATACTCCTACACACACCAGACCCTTGAGGCGTACCACTCGGTTTGTACTGGAACACAACGAGTGAACATATGGAAGGTATTTAAAGGCCGTCGGGTTTTGTCATTTAATTACAAAGAATAGACTCTGACAAATAATTACATATTAACATACTCTATTAGGTCAATACACTTCCAATACCCATAGACCACTTGACCTCCGCGATCACCACACACACTCGTAACTTCCGCCTAAGTCCCTAATACGGAATGATTACTACAACGCTCCACACCCGGTTAGTCTTTCATTCAATACTCACATACTGCAGACTTAACTTGGTCACTAAGATCACATCAGGTTCTCGCATAGCTGTCTGCTACACTTAGCTGCTGCCACAACGGAGACCTCGGAGGACTTGCCAGTTCCACTCCCACAACAAGACTGCCTCCAGTCAGCCATGGCCTCAAACATTTCACCCCGCCTCTCAAGGAAGGTATAATCCGATTAACCTTATCCCTAGAGCGGTAACCTTGATCCTAGAAGCCTGACGAGAATAATTCCTCTTTCCAGGAATTATTAATTTGGCTAAACAGCTTCGGTCTTAATCCATTGACCTTTCTTAGATATGTGATCCATAGTCTGTCTACTTACATGTACTTCCAATCATCATTCGTTAAGTGTTGTAGTAATGATCCTCTAGCTAATAATTCCTACTAACTTGTGGATTACAACACCACTCCCCTCCTTAAACACGCATATGTCCCCATATGCATCATTGCAAGGGTTCCATTAGTGCAAGGACCTGGAGGATGCACCCACCATATGTGTACAACTAAGAAATCATCCAATAAGTTCATTATACACACGATGAAATAAATTAAAATTTTCCCCGACATGACTCACAACACTTCTCCAACATATACATTATATTCACATCATAGCACAGGTTAAATAGTCTGTAATAATTTTTCCCATCTCCAACAATGCACATATACCTAAACTGCTGACATATAATTACATACAAACATAAACATAAAATTACATTGACCAGAATGCTGGCACTTAAACAGAAATGACACTAGTCATAAATATATACACAAGACATATATATCTAAGGTTCTTCATCCTTAGCAACAAGTTAATAAAAATTTAACATCTTGCCCTGTACTGTTGACATAAGGGCTTACAATGATCACAAAATGTTTCACTGGCCTCCTCCACAATTGGCAGCAACACTTCTCTTGTCTTCGTGTCCCATGGTTGCTAGGTCATAGATCCTCCATGACCCAGACAAAACCCAGGCTGTCCAGCCTGGTGAATGTTGTCAATGTCCCATCGTTGCTCTGAGCTAACGTGATCCTGGCCTCCAGAGCAACGGAGATTCCTACCCCAGGGTCATGTTCCCTCGGGTCGGTGCTGACGTCTCGTTCCAGGGCACCAATCCCAGAACGCTGTAGATACCTCACAGCTCTCTGGTCATCCTTCCTTGCTGTCCTCACCACAGCTGTAGCACATTACTCTCGGCCCATCCGCCCAGAGTGTGTCCACCTGTATTCACACCTTCCCGACCGCTGTACCTACAAAATATTCCCTCGGAGCCCCCTGGCTCGATCCCATTATTACATGACACCCCTTCGGCTCCTTGCTCTCTCCCCGTATATAGCCTGAGCGCAGCTGCAAAACCATTGCAGCTGGCCCTTATCCCTGCTTTGATGTCAGGGGGCGAATTTCGCCTATAACGTCACGTTGGCTTCACTTCCTTCCCCCTTTTTTTTCTAGAATTACTGAGTGTAGCCTCATAGCTTCCCTTCTACTCTACCTGAAGCTCTGTGACATGATCCCGGGGGACCTTCTCAAGCCTAACACTCAGTAATGGTGCCGATGAGGTAATATACAGTAAATACATACACATACATTATCACAATAAATACCTCATTAAAATAATTTCACAACTAATGTCACTAAAGCATCATACTGCCACTGGCTCGCCTCTAGCGAGATTCCTGTAACAACTTAATTAATGAGAGATTAGTATATGTACTTGGCTCGTCCACTGCAACCACCAACACCTGAAATTTGAAATTCTACCTTATAATCTTATCCATAAGACTTACCCACTCCGACTTAATTAATGAAAATTTTAATGAAAATAATGAATTTTTATTAGTCGTTTATGAGTCTTGCTAGATATATCGACTTGGCTCGCCTACTGCAGCCACCAACTCCTGCAATTATCCACATTTCATCTTATCCATAAGACTTACCCACTCCGACTTAATTAATGAAAATTTTAATGAAAATAATGAATTTTTATTAGTCTTTTATGAGTTTTGCTAGATATATCGACTTGGCTCGCCTACTGCAGCCACCAACTCCTGCAATTATCCACATTTCATCTTATCCATAAGACTTACCCACTCCGACACACCATTACCACTGGTCATCCCAACCACTGATGACCTCAATATAACGCCACACATCCCTACAACCACTTCCTGCGTCCTAACGCACCGACCTTGCTACGCCAATACTCACCTTACCGACCACTACCTGGCGCCCCTGCGCCACCATATTTTTTTTTTTTTTTTTTTTTTTTTAGATATATACAAGAGTTGTTACATTCTTGTACAGCCACTAGTACGCGTAGCGTTTCGGGCAGGTCCCTGGAATACGATCCCCTGCCGCGAAGAATCGTTTTTTCATCCAAGTACACATTTTACTGTTGCGTTAAACAGAGGCTACAGTTAAGGAATTGCGCCCAGTAAATCCTCCCCGGCCAGGATACGAACCCATGACATAGCGCTCGCGGAACGCCAGGCGAGTGTCTTACCACTACACCACGGAGACTGTACTTACCTGTACCTGACTGACTTATATACTCCACAACACCACACTCCATACCAGGCGTCCAAACGCCACTACACTACACCACCCAATGGCGTTCCCAACGCCCTCAACACAACACCCGGCGTCCCCCACACCCTCAACACAACACACGGCGTCCCCAACACAACACACGGCATCCCCAACGCCCTCAACACAAAACCCGGCGTCCAAACGCCCTCAACACAACACCCGGCGTCCCCAACGCCATCAACACAACACACGGCGTCCCCAACGCCCTCAACACAACACACGGCGTCCCCAACGCCCTCAACACAACACACGGCGTCCCCAACGCCCTCAACACAACACACGGCGTCCCCAACGCCCTCAACACAACACACGGCGTCCCCAACGCCCTCAACACAACACACAGCGTCCCCCAACACCATTACCACCACAGGCATATGCCTTGCGCCAGAGCGCATCAAAACACCACGAGACATCACCACCAATCAGTAACCAGACGCCACACACACTCCCTTTTCTCTCGTAATCCGTTAATTACCTGACCAACACTCGTCAGGCATAATTTCTTGTGTAGTGGCCACCCGCCACACTCTACCACCTGCGTTAACATACTTCAACGCTAATGTCTACAATACACCCGGTGTTACAACAACCAGTTATGCTACACATGCTACACCTTGGCGCTACAATGCCAACAATTTTTTTTTTTTTTTTGAGATATATACAAGAGTTGTTACATTCTTGTACAGCCACTAGTACGCGTAGCGTTTCGGGCAAGTCCTTAATCCTATAGTCCCTGGAATACGATCCCCTGCCGCGAAGAATCGTTTTTTCATCCAAGTACACATTTTACTGTTGCGTTAAACAGAGGCTACAGTTAAGGAATTGCGCCCAGTAAATCCTCCCCGGCCAGGATACGAACCCATGACATAGCGCTCGCGGAACGCCAGGCGAGTGTCTTACCACTACACCACGGTGCCTGCCTATGTCATGCACTATACTACATCCATAATATCAACAGTCAAAACATGCACATTTCACTACAGTAAATACTATGCATTACGCTGGCGTTTAATAAGCCACTACACATGCATTACACTACTCACCCTCGTCCTTCCGCCAATATACAATCATGCACTACGCTCGGCGTACAAACACCAATACACATGCACTGCGTCGCCACCTCCCAACGTCACACACCCTCACCAACGGGACACGCTCCCTGTGTCCCAAGGTAACACTCTCCATAATGCTACCTGCACCCACTAAAAATCTCCATGGCCCTCTCCAGGGTACACTAGACGGCGAACCCCAGACGGCAAATTACGCGTCACTCGCTATGCCAAGGCGTCCATAATTCACTGCGTCTATTTTCTGTATCTACGTCTGACAACGCCGGAAATCGCTCAAATCTTTACGTAATATTTAATAATATTTAAAATATTCGATCTACACTTTACATGATATTTAATTGACTTCAAATTACGTAGATTTCACGCTTGATTTGTCCTTAGCAACGGTTTCTCACTATTACCACCATACCGACGATATAAAACAAACTCCATGGTGCGGCTCGCTTGGCCCACCCATCGCTTGGCCTGCACATGGCCGCACATGGCCCACGCTGGCCCACATTCACCCGCGCTAGTTTACCTCGCCACTCTGTATAATCCGCACTACGAACAC